TGAAAACATAGTTAATATTTGTCAACTTATATACATTTTTTTCCTTTGAAAAAAACCTTTTTGATTCACTTTCTTAACAACTTTCAAAAATATAATACAGTATTGTGAGTATAGTAACCATTCTGTATGTTACATTCTTCAGACTTACTTAGCTTAAAACTGATAGTTTTTATATTGTGAAGACCCATTTCATCTACTCCCTAGCTCTCACTTTGGCAACCAACAATCTGTCTGCTTCATCTATGATCTCTTTTTATTTTTTTGACTCCACAGAGAGTGACATCATATAGTATCTTTATTTATCTGACTCATTTCACTTAGCATAATCCTCTCACACTCTATCCACATTGTCAAAAAAGGCAGAAATTCCTTCTTTTTAGTGACTGAATAATGTTCCATTCATATATCTCTATATGAACAGACAGCTACTGTTTCATGCATATATCACCAATCATAGAAGACATGTAGGTTATTTCCATTTCTTTGTAAATAATGCTGCAATGAACATGGGGGTAAAGATGGTGGTTTCATTTCCTTCAGTTAAATGACCAAAGTGTAATTGCTGGATCATACACTAATTTTAGTGTTTTAAGGAATCCACACATTGTTTTTCATAGTGGTGGCACCAATTTACAAAGCCAACACCCATGCACGAGGGGTCCTATGCATTTCGAGTTACGGTAAAGTATAGCACAATAGCATCATATTGACCATCTTAAGCATTTTTACATGTACAGTCCATATTGTTAAGTCCATTCACATTGTTATGCAATCATCACCAACACCTATTTCAAGAATATTTTTCATCTTCCTAATAATGCCCTCCTCCACCTTTCCCTACCTTCTATCAGCCACTATTCTTTCTGACTCTGAATTTTGTACTCTAGATGCCTCATGTAAGTAAAGCGATACATACAGTAGTGGTACTTTTGTGCCTGTTTATTTTACTTAGCATAATACCCTCAAGGTTCACCATGTTCTAAAACGTGTCACTTCTTTCCTTTAAGGGCTAAACAATACCCATTGTAGGTGTTTACTACATTTTATTTATATATTCAGCTACATATGGATGCTAGTACTGTTTTCATATTTGAGCTATTGAAAATAATGCTGCTATGAATATGGGTATACAAGTTAACTGCTTGAGTTCCTGAAGTAGAACATGGTAATCTACTTTTAATTTCTTAGGAACTGCTCTACTGTTTTCTATAGCAGCTATACTATTTTACATTCCTACAACAGTGCACAAGCGTTTTAACTTCTCATATCTCATCTCCTTAGTTTTTGGTGTCTTTTTAAAATTATTTATTTATGCATATAAGAGCTGGAGTACAGGCCAGAGTTGCAGGTATGGAAAGAGGTTTTACCAGAGACAGAGTGGGGAACAGAACAGGCAGATCTAGTGAATTCTACTGTTGAGGGGTGCAGCAGATGAGACAGTAGAGGTCTCCTGTGGCAGGTGGCCGGGGATCGAACCTGTGCTGCAGTGGCTGCAGATAGTTTCATATTGCTTTGGCTTAACCTATTATGCCACCAAGGAGGCCTTTTTTTTGGTATTTTTGATAATAACCTCCTCATGGATGTGTGAAGTGGTATCTCATGTGGTTTTGACTTTCATTTCTTAATAGTGATGTAGGACAGCTTTTCATGTACTAATAGTTTTCTGTATATATATATATACCTTACTTGGAGTAATGTCTATTTAAGTCCTTTGCTTATTTTTTTTTAATGTCAAGAGAGACACTGACTTAAAAAAAAAAAGATATACTTATTTGTTTATGCATACAGAACTGGGGTACAGGCCAGAGGTGCAGGGGTGATGAGAGGATTCACCAGAGACAGAACAGGGAGTAGTACCGGCAGGTTGATGAAGTACACTGCTGAAGAAAGAAGAGGGCAACACAGGAGAGGTCTGCCATGGCATGTGGATCACCTCCTGGCAGGGAATCGAACTGTGCTGAAGCATCTGTGGCTAGCCTCATAGTTCTGTGCTTTAACCCACTATGCTACCAGGGAGGGCCAAGTCCTTTTTTATTTTCAAGTTATATTGTTCTGTGATTGATTTGTTGAAGATCTTTATATATTTGTCATATCAATCCCTTACCAGATATATGATTTGTCATTATTTTTTCCATTCAGTGAATTGTCTTTTACCCTTTTGACCATAGCCTCTGAGGCATAAAAGTTTATTATTTTGATGTTGTTAATTTGATTTCTCCTTTGTTCTCTGTGCTTTTGTACCCCCCCTCTTTTTTTAAAACCTACCTAGCTCATATTCTCAAATGAGCTTTCTCAGCTACTGCTGAGCAGCTCTTCTCTGTACACTCATTTGTTTCTAAATTGCCTGAGGGAAATGACTCATTTTGAACCTCAAGTAGGGAGGGCAGGAGCTATATTAGTCCCCTTGAAGAGAGTTCACTTAATGAACTTAAGATTATGCAGTGGCAGCAAATATCACTGCTCAGCTAGTAGTTGATGGATGGATAAATGAACAACTAAATGAAGTGCGAACCCAGGGACATGAAGACCAGTCCCCGCATACCCCAGGGTATCCATGGTCTGACCTCCTTAGACAAGCCAGCACTATGAGGTTCTGGATATGTCCTGATGGGCTCAGAAATTGGATTGGCCTCTTCAGTATGTAATGAAATTGACCACTACAGATGATGGGTAGCTGAGTCAGAGCCCAAGAACTACTAGTGTGAAAACAGGTGAAAAAGTAGCACTTGGGCTTTATTTAACCTACTTTCACTACATCAAGGGCAGAAAATCAATTTGGTACTGTTCACAATGGTTTATAAAAGTTGATTTTAGTAGGTCTGTCTCCTCAGCTAGACAGAGAGCTTGTATAACAGAATGCAAACTACAAATATGTTCCTAAAATTACCTAAAGGACATTGCTATACAATAATTTGTTCAACATTTAATAATAATAATAATATCTGATATACAATGTCAGGCACCAATGCTAGGCACTTCATTTCTTCTTTAAATTTAATTGCTTCTTTAAATGCCCTCAAACATTATATAAGACATTATTTTGATGATAGAGATGAGGAAAACAAGTCTTGCCATGGCTCCTATATTAGGAAGTGACTGTGTTGTGATTCTCACTCAGCTGGAGCTCCCTCCTACTAGGATTTCTTATATAGTATGGTGCCAACTATGCCCAAAGATGCTAGAGATACAAAGATGAAGTAGACGTCATTGCTCATGGAAGTGTAGTACTTGTGCAGAGGAGACAGCGAGGACAGGAAGACTGCTGACCCAATGTGAGAATCAAGCAAGTTTTCCTGAGGAGGGAGAGTTGAACTGAGGCTTCAAGGACAAGGTAGCAATGGAAAGGGAGCATGGACAACTAACTGTTCTGCCAGCCCAGTATCTCATCCTTCTGGGAATTACATCCCTCTTCTCTTAGGAAACTTCTCACAGTGAGATTTTCCATGATCTTACTAAGTCCTGATTCTGGTTGAGTGTTTTAGGAGTAGATCCCAACCCAAACCCAGGTCAACTGTAAATGTTACATAGATTTTTTCAAAGAAAAACTCTCATTAGGGCCTCCCTGGTGGTTGTGGGTGGCTTTAAAGTGCTGAAACTTAACCCCAGCCACTGTAGCATAAGTTCAAATCCCGGCCAGGGAGCTGACCCACATGACACAGCAGACCCCTCCTCTCTTGTCCACTGCTCCGCTCAGCAATGTAATTCAGTAGACCCACCTGTTCTGCTGCTCATTCTCTCTGGTAAATCCTTTCACCTTCCTACACCCTAGCTCTTGTATGCAGAAATAAATAAATCTTAAACAAAAAAAGAAAGGAAACTCTCAACAAACATCTGTCCTTATTTAATGTGAAGAGTGACACATTAGACATTATTTGGCAGCTTTACTTTCTGACATTAGGAGGGATGGTCTTGAATGATAAAGAGTGAGGCTAACACAGGGACCAGAAGCAACCTACCTGTTACCTGGTCCATTGTTTCATCATTTCTTGATTAAAGTAAGATAAACCTATATTCTCCTGATAAATCTTTTGCTTCAGTGCCTCAAGATTGATAGCTACATTTCCCACCGTAACAGTCCTAACATACTTAGTAACAAGGCATGAATGGCCTTAAACAAAGTATCAGAAACAAAAAGCAAGTTGTCGCTGCATGAAGCCATAGATAGTATAATATTTGCAACATATAAACTTTTAGAGAAGAAGTGGGAAAAGATAAGACTAATAAGTAGGAAGGAATCTAATCACTGTGGCCTGGTGAATTTTAATAAGGACTTTTGAACTTGATCCTGTATGTATTCTGTTCATATTACAGGATTTTTAGAAGGCATTAGAGTCAGGTTATCTATTAACTGTATTAAATAGTTACAAGAGGTTCTAACCTGGGAGTCCCAGGAGTGCTTAAGTTGTTCCCAACTCTGAAATGGCATGCAAAATCTGTGGGTGTGTACTGATTTGAATTAGGGCTCTAGCTTTCATCACCTATAAAAGGAATTTCTGACCTAAAATATGTTATGAACTACTATCTATGTACAGGCACCTTGAAGTATAACTGGCTTCATATATTCATACAAAGCTCATCCACGCTCAGCTTCCTAATTTCTTCACAATTTTATTAAGCTGCTTAACACAGAGAAAATGCTCAGTAACTGCTCAGTGGGACACAGTCTCAACAAGTGTTTCTCTCTGGGATCATGAAAAGATGTAAAGAGATAAGGAATCAGACCTGGTTACTGGTACATAATTCTGAATATGACTTCCATCATCTTCTTGGCTTAGACACTCACACAAAGCCTGCAGACTCGCGGAGGTGAGTCACCTCGAGGGTATCACCATTCCAACAATCCGTGCCCTACCTGTAGGTGGAGCGACTACAAGTCCCGGGATGCGCCGCGCTCAGAACCGGAGCAGGGGCGGGGCGTCCTCCGCAGTGACGTCACCGTCCCGGGGCTGGCCGGGGTGGGCGGGGCGGAGGAGCGGAGGGGCGGGGCGGGGCGGGGAGGCGGCCTGGCGCGCTGGTGCTGATGCAGGATGGCTGAACGCACGGGAACCCGGGAGGTCTGAGCCCCGCGAGGCTCGCTCCCTGCGCATCGCCTTGTCCGCCCGCCGCGTGGTCGCGGGCCGGTGCGCCGGGGGCGCCGCGCGGGGCCGGGGAAGGCAGGTCTGCAGCCCGTCGGCCCGAAGGCTAATAGGCTACCCTCATACTGGGTCTCGGCAGCGACGGGTGCTGCCCAGCCCGCCGAGTTTGCGATGACCTGCTGAGCAGCGCTGCCGGAGGCTGCGGGAGGTGGCTTCGCAGCGGTCGGTGCAGTTCGCGGCCTCCTCTTTCTTGGTGCACAGCCCCGACCCCCCACCCATTCCCGCGCCCCCTCCCTGCTGCGGGTGGAGATGGCGGATCCAGCTGAATGCAGCATCAAAGTGATGTGCCGGTTTCGGCCTCTCAATGAAGCGGAGATCCTCCGCGGGGACAAATTCATCCCCAAATTTAAAGGCGATGAGACCGTGGTGATTGGGGTAAGTGGCGGGGCTTCTGACCTCCTCTTTCGCGCTGCAGCTGGCGCCCCGACAACCCAGACCGAGCACCTCTGCTCCGGCCGCCCCTTCGGACATCCACGCGGGGCTGCCCTATTGGGTGGACTTGTCGAGGGGCCCGTTCCCCCACCTCCACTTTACAGTTTTCTCCCAGGGGCGGTTAGGGTTGACTGGGGGCGGCAGGGCGGGCCCTGATGGCGAGGGTGGGGGTTGGGGTCGAAGAAGGGTTTGGCGCCGCCATTGTTCGCGGGGTGGGGGCCCGGGTGGGCCTATTGTTCCCCGCCCTGGCCACGTCGCGTGGGTAGTGTGTTCTGGTTGTCCTCAAGTTGGGATGCCCATTCTCTGCTTGTAGTGTGAGCCCTGCAATCCGCAAATGATTCCAATCTTCGGTTCGATTTTTTGAACACTTTGCCACTTCTCAACGACCTTCCTCTTAGTAAAACAGGAAGAAAAAAGGTACTGGAAAATTCCTAGTGTCGGCTCGGACCCCCACGGCAGTGTAGAAGAGGCTTCCCTAGGGGTTCACCTTGCTTTGCTTGTGGAAGGCGGGGGTGGGGTGGGGAGGAATACTGGTGGCCTTGGTGACCCCAGGAGACCTGGTGAGTCTCCTTCTGTATACTCATCCTTTCAACTCTATCTGCCCAGTGGGGTGACACCCTCCACCCAGCCCCTCCTGGTGTCAGCAACCCCTAGGATGTTTCACGTTGAGTGAGAGAGGGCTGGGTGCCCCTATCTGTGAGACTAGGAGGTTCAGAGAGCAACCACATAGGGCTCTCTGTGCCATGAGTAGAAGTTACTTTGTGTGTCCAGGGTCCTCCTCCCTCTTGATCTTCCTTTCCACCTTTACCCCTCCTCCCATTCTGCAGGGAGAGCAGCAGTCAGGGCTGCTGGTGGAGGCAGGGAATATTGGATTTTAGTTCGTAAAGACATTATGTCAAATGAAATAAACCAGTCTTGCCACCGTCCCTTCCCCCACCACAGTCCCCCGCGTGTGTAACTGATGGGGCCCTTTTTGTATGCGAATCGCGTGGGGAGGGACCAAGTTAATGGGAGCCTCCCGATCCCCCGCTAACACGTTCCTGGCAGCTCGCTGGTGGCTGCTAATGCAGCCTTCCCGTCCCCGGGATTGATTAAGTGATGTCATCTCCATCACTGAGCATGCTCCAACTAACCCCCTCCCTCCCATTTCCCCAGTGGCTAGTGTATTTAGGTCAAGTGATTGACAGGTGACAATATATTGAGGGTCTCCTGGAGTTCTGAAGCACCGTAGGCCGAGGTTTGCCAGCCTAAGCTGTTCCCTGCCTTTTCGCCAAGATTGTGCTGCAGTCCTTGGAAGGGCCCCAGGGACTAGCAGGTGCTGGCTGTACCGGTAGGCGGGTACTCTGGGCTTGAGTGGAATCAAAACAAGGCTGTGGCCTCGGGACTTCATTTTGTACTTCCTTTCAGAAGGCAGCTCTCCATTGGGACCCTCCCTCCCCTCTCCATTTTCACTGGCCACCAGGAAGTCTTGACCTTCCAAAGCTGTGTGAATGAGTGTTCATTTTGAGAGTTGAACTGTGAGAACAAGAGAGGGTTTTTCTCTCTGGTTAGTGTTAACTTGCAGAAATGTATGCTACAGATACTGATAAGAAGGGAAATGATATTGCTAATGACAGGTAATGCATAGTGACATAAGTATTGCAGGTGGTATCTAGTTTGGGTTACACCTCTCAACGGGGATCAGCCTACCATCTGATTTGCCATTTCTCAGGAAATGGCCTGATGATTGAAATAGAGTGGAAGTTGCTGGGGACCTTTAGTCTCTGCCCCTTGTCTTGCAACAATTTTAAACAAATAGTTGTACAGCACTAGCACATGTTCTGTTGACCCCATTCCCACCTCATCCCTCCCCCCAAAAAAAGGTTTTGAAGAAGAACCCTCTCCCTTCCTCTTCTTTCTCTTCCTCTTCCTTCTCTTTTCCCCTCTTCTAAGAGTGCTATACCAGGATTAATGTGGTGGAGTAACAAATAATTCCCTTTGATCTGTGTGAAAGTGAGATCCTTAATTTTAGGGTAACCCTCCTTTAATATTGTGATTTTCCTGTAACTATATAGTTCTCATCTAAATATGCATGTTATTGCTCAAATAAGACAAGTTCAGCATAGAAAAGAAACAATTTAAACAAAGACCTGTGAACCGGAAATCACATGTAGCTCTTCTACTGGAGAGTAAAATTTTTATTATACCATAATCATCTAATACAACAGTTTTCAGTTTTAAGATGAAATTTTCAGATGGAAAAGTGTTATCATAAATGTACAACTTGATGAGTTTTTATAAAATAAATATTTTTCTGGATCCCAGAAGTCCTCCGTAGTGTACCTCCTCTGGTTAACTTCCCCTGCCTCAGTGTAACTACTTCTGGCTTATGGCATAGCTTAGATTTCCTTGTTTTGTTTTGCTAGTTTGTTTTAATAAAACCCTATATACCTACAATCATACACCACATTCCCTTTGTGTATGGCTTCTGGTGTTCAGCATTCTGCTCATCAGATTCATCCATACTGTGTTGTGCGGCAGTAGTTTGTTCTTTCTCATTGTTCTGTGGTTTCCCATTATCTGCACATACCACGGTTTATTTATTCATTAACTGTAGTATGTATTTGGGTAGTTTCTGCTTTGGGGCTGTGAGTATTCTTTTACACATCTGCTGAGTGTGCCTACAGACAATTGCCAGATGCTGGGACATGGGTTGGCTTGTGCTTGGGCCCTTCCCAGTCCTAGTTAATAACTAATGGAAATCATAGTTCTCACAGTTTTGTGTATCCTCAAAACTCCAGAACTCTTCCATAACGTCAGTCACTTTCATTCCCAAGAGATAAAAGAGTGAATTTTGATGGAGTTAGCTGTTAGTCTGAATATAGAATCCCAGACAGTTTTTGTGTTTTTGAAACTGGGGTCATTTTTGCTCCTTTAAAGTTCTGTTCAATTCTTATGGAGATATAAAGAGGAAGATTTTGCAGATGGACTTTCCAGATTTCTCTATTTAAGAAAATGTCCCATCTTGGAGGAATCATCCTCATCCTTCTTTCTTTTTTTCTTTTTTTAAGATTTATTTATTTATGTATACAGGCCAGAGGTGTAGGGGTGAGAGAATTCACCAGAGACAGAGTGGGGAGCAGAACAGGCAGATCGATGAAGTACACTGCTGCATCCTCATCATTCTTGCATCCTTTTCAGCTCTTGAGCAAGCTTTCCTTCCCTGTCCATCCCAGCCTGAATGGAACTCTTGTAGTATTTATTTCATATATTTTTGAAATGTTTGCTGTACATCACTAGTGGTTTTGCTCTTTTGTTTAATGGTATTGTAAGTCCTGTGTTAAGACAGGATCTTCTTTGTGTTTCCCAGGGCGTTGCCTGTAGGAGGTATGTAGTAAATATTTATTCATCTCAGTTGAGTCTAGAAATCTTTCCTTTGGCACATTTAACGTATTTTTATAGATTTTTAAGTGGCCAAAGACTATAGGGAGTAATTAAAAGACAATTTTAAAGAAAAGAGTTATTCCTTTGAGCAGGCCTTTGAAGAACTCATATGGTATACTTACTGCTGTAAGAAAACTGGGAAAGATGTACACTCAACTTTGTTTAAAATCAGAACTGGGGAAGCCCATGGAGATTACAACTGAGAGGGGGAAAAAGCACAAAATGAAGAATGATGTAAAAATAAATAAAATGCATGTGAAACACCAAAAACAAACAAAAAGAAAGAAAGAAAGAAAAGGAAACTGAAAGTAATAAAACAAACAAAAAATCAGGAGTACTGATGAACCGGGGGTGAACAAAATTGGAGGGTGGGAGTTTATAAGTCACTAGAAAAGGGACTTGCCATTAATTCTTCAGAGGAAAATTATGGATTTACAGCATTTCTTGTACTCCTCCATTAGCTTCAACAAATGCTCATGAGTCATCCATCACCTGTTGGTTTTGATGCCTCTGTTTTGATGGAAACTCTGTTTTCAGGAAGTTGTCAGTGAGGTTCTTTAGAATGAGCTTTCACACATTGTTTCCCATCTACTGCTTTCCTCTTGTGTGCAGTCCTGGGAAAGCTGGTCTTGTATCCTCCTGAGGCAACATAAGTCTGACCTATTAGAGAACCCAAACAAAACATCAGCGACAACATGCGTGTGCACTGATCAGTGAGTGGCATGGGAGGTGGCCTTAAAGTTCCCTGGAACTGAGATTAGTTCTGGAAAGTGAGAGGGGAAGCAGGGCTAGGATGAGACCAAATCCCAAACCTAAATTGGCAGGTTGAGATACAGTTTCAACTTTTCTTTTTGTCCAGAGTCATGTTCTTTAAAAGAAATTATTTTTTTCCTTCTAAAGTTTATTTGCAGTAAAATCACCTTTTTGGTGTAGAGTGCTGTCATCAAGCACTTGACAAATACATCAAATTGTGTAGCTTTGCTGTGTAATTTTCCATTGCTGTTCTAGCAAATTACCACACATTTAGTGGCTTAAAACAATATATGTTTCTACTGCAGTGTCCAAAGATCAGAAATCTTTCTCTGCTTAGAGTTTCATTAGGTCAAAACAAGGTATTGATGAGCAGTGTTCTTTTCTGAAGGATGTAGGAAACAATCTTTATCTCACTCCTTTACGTTGGTAACAGATTTCATTTCTTGTGGTTGTAAAACTGAGGCCTCGCTTTTCTTGCTGGCTGTCAGCCCAGGCTATTCTCAATTTATAGGGAAGACTCTCAGGTCCTAGACGTTAAAGGCTCTTGTTTTGAGCCTCTCTTGCTTCTTCAATGGCAGGCCTCTGTTATTGACTCTTCTGCCTCTCTCTTCATTTCTAAGGGCCCACATGATAATAATGGGTCCACTGGATAATCCAGGATATAACCTTCCGATTAGAAAGTCATCTAACTAGCAGACTTAATTCTGTCTGCAAAGTCCCTTTAACTTGTAATGGAAGCATAGTCACAGGTTATAGATTGGAGTGTG